TGACCTGGTAGAAAGCGCGGTGTACAATCAACAGCAAGACCTGTCAACACACAAACGATGCCGCGCAGTTGATCGGCTGGGGATACGCTTCCTCATTCTGGATGCTGTGGTCTCCGCCTTCATAGTTCTCGGGCAGAAACCAGAACCTGACCTCTGGAAAAGCTTCACCGATGCCATTAGCCATGCTGCACCTCCTCCAGTAGTAAACCGAAATGACGGAGAGCGACAGGCCTTCTTGTTGTATCTATCTCAGAAGCTCAGCAAGGCAATACAAACACTCAAGACGGGAAGGAGGCCACATCCGGCGGACCTTCTGCAGATAAAGTGGTCGCTCTTCTGCTCTCCGGCTCCTCCTGCGCGTTTTAAAACATCTGAATTCCATCGTTGGAGGGCGGATGACCGCAGCGATACCGATGGGTCGCAGGGTGGCTCACCGTAAACATGGATTCCGCGTACGTTTTGGTGGACGTGGACGGACAACTTAGAAAAAGTGTGAATGTTCAGTTTGCCCACGAACAGCATTTGCGTTGGGCCTGCTTGTCTATATCTTCTATCGGCTGTTGCATTGACGGCTTCCTACCCTCTCGACGAACTGGCGTAACTAATCGTTCTCAGTTGCAGCGAGCGCCACAAAAGTAAACCAGTCTACCGCTCGGACACGAATGCAGCAGGAACAACGCAGGCAAATAAAGTTAAGTAAACGAAACATAATGTAGTAAGAGGTAAAAAGGCTTTGATTCCTGTATCTCAGATCAGAGGCGTTTCCTTTCGCGTTTGGCTATTTGAAGAAAATGACGCAAGGTTTTAGCGCAACCTTCTGCCAGCTACTACGGGGATCTTTAGGCGTTCGGCCTGGCGCTTGCACGCCTGCATGTGAGCAAGCAATAAGACTTTCACGGAACGTCTAAGTGACGCGAATAGTGCGAGTTACAGTGGCAAATGCTGCACAGCAACAGCAAAATGACGGCTACAGTGAAACGATGACCTAATTGTGTGGCCTCCGTCAAGCAGGGATCGCTTAACAGATCTCTAGTTTATTTTTCCGTGCATCAAGTGGGGTCTTGAGCGGAGTTGCGCGTGGTTGCCTTGGAGCACGAGCTGCTTCAAGGTGTGCTGCAACTCATGATAATCCTCTTCTTCTCTGCACCAGCCCCAGGCCCTTGCACCGCTGTGGGAAGGGAACCTGGGGACTGTAACGGAGGCCAGATGCTGCTGGGGGGATGCGTATTGTCGGTGTGTTCAGTATTTTGATTCTGTTGTTGCTCACGGCGGACCTCGTCGAAGATCAGGGGACATTCCTTGAGTTGCATCTGCAGTGGGCGTGCAGAAAGAGGTGCAACAAGGATTCCTTGTTGCACCTCTTTTTGCACGCCCACTGCACATGTAAGCACACCCAAGCCTCTTTTTCGCGCATTAGCTAACGCTGTAGACAGCCACTTCCCTCACCCTCAGTAGACAGCATGCACACAATTAAATATGGTTGTACGAGCTTCGGGTAGGCGATACTTGATAGGATGCTAACGCTAGCTGACTGTGATGACCTTAGTGTATTTCCGAGAACTCTTCACTGCTATAGCAACCTATATATATATATATACATATATATATATATATATACATANATATATATATATATATATATATATATATATATATATATATATATATATATATATATATATATATATGGCAATTGGCAGTGTTATAGCTCCCACAATATTTCAAATCATTACGTACATAACTAATTAAGGCCGTTCCAACGTTTTGCAGGCTCTGAAAGCCCCTGGACATCGCACCTTCGCCGTTGGAACGCGATAGGAACTGGAGACTAGAGACGCGCAGGGTGGGGACCAGCTAGGCTGCTTTTGCTTATCCATGCAATCTTCGGTACATTACATAAATGAGTTACCTTTGAAATGTGCGTGTCTGCAGATGCGGATGACACGCAGAAAAGTGAAACCCAGTTAATAGCCGTGACTTGTTTG